AATTTCTGAAATATTATTGTTTTTAATAAATCATCTATTAAATTTATATCATTTACAGCTTCAACACTTAATTTTATTTAATCGTATCTTGCATTATGAATTTGATGTTAATATATTAAGTAATAATTAAAATATGCAGTATAATCTACTGCAGTTAAGAAAAAGTAATTTTTATAAATTCCATAGATCGTTTCATTATCTAATAAATTAAATGTCTTTCGTTTAACTATTTTTAATAACATTTAGTTCCAATACAATCTGTATCATGCCTGCATAAAATTAACACATATTAGTCTTCTATATTGAAAGAATTTTTTTTAAATGAAGACTTTCATATTATAATTCTATTCAATTAAATTATTATCTTCATTTAATTAGACGTGTGACCTGAGGTACCTCAAAAATTATCATAATTCTGTTTTATTTAATAGCAATTCCATCTGCCTTTGATAATTTTGAATTAATCGTGTGATCGTCCAACGAGATTGGAGTCTGGTGAGTCAAAGGACATCAACTCGCAGCGCACAAAAGCGGCAGCCGTCCGTTTTCGCCGGGAGGATCAGCACCCAGGCCAACATGCACACACAGAGGCCAGCCGGGCACAATAATTGCCCTCACAGATAAGGGTCAGCCGGCTGGCGGTCGGCGCGAATCACGAGAGCGTGCATATTTATTATTAAAATGTCGCCAGCACCGAAAGCGGGCAGTTTCATCAGCGGCCCGCCGTTTGCCATCAAGGTGGCCTTTGTTTAGCCCACGCCGCTCTTTGCAATAACAATCTTATGCCGCACGGCCTTTGCGACAAAAGCCCATCTTGATGCGACGTAATATGTACGGCCTCTCTTTTGTTTGTTTTGCATAGGCCAGTTTATTAAGGGCCCACTCATTGTTGATGTATGTTACGGCTGCCTCGTTTGATGGATTTTCCGGATAGCTGGATGATGAGCCGGTTGGCTGGATCTCATCACCCAAATGGAGAACGGGGCCAATTACTTAAGGAATTGACAAAACAGATACACAACCTGCTTTAAGGGCGATAATTTATTTGAAATTCCTTTCATATTGTTTTGTTAATTTTGTTGTTGCTCCCTGAGCACTGCCAAAATAATGAAAAATTATTTTTTTTAATTCATAAATTTCTTATCTGTATAACAAATTTTCAAGGTTTAATTATTTAAAACTAAATAAATTTTTCAGAACTTTTGGTTGGGAGGGACGATTCGTAAGTTTTTGGGTTTATTGGGAAAAAATATTTGATTAATATGCATTGTGGTATTATTATTTTTTTAGATACTTATATACTTAGATTGAGTTCTGATTTTTTTGTTATAAATTTCTATATTTAAAAATTACCCTTGCCTGCCCTGGCCTTACATGAGGATGTCTTTATTTTATATAGTTCCATGAAATATCTAAACACTATACTACTATTGTTTACAATTGATAGTTAATATCACCTGAAATCACCTATTTGATGAAAAATTAGCTCAGACTATTTTCACTATCAAAAGTAAATATCAAATTATTTTCATCGTGAGATTTTTCACATTTAAACTTTATTTTGTGACACACAATTCCTTCTCTTAAATCATCCAAAAACAATAAATTATTATTCAGAAAAGGATTAATTAACTATTTCAGCAAAAAGAATCAATTGAAAAATGCCTATTTCGCTAAAATAATCACACATTTTCTAAGCCTTTTCCACTCTTGTGCTATTTGTTTAAATTCTAAGAAGAATTTGATTTCGAACAGAATATTCTTTGCGAATCAATTTTCATAATTTTCAGCGTCACTAAAATAGCTCAGAAAAGTGTCACCCAAGTGTTATTGACTTTTAAGATGTTTATTTTGCGCAGCTCCCATCGTGCAGGCGAGAATTATCTCGCCGGCGCAAAAGCGCAGAGGACTGATAGAAGGTAGGTGAGCTGCTGGGTGCTTTAGTTAATTAAGCTGACGACGCGTTTTTCGTCCGTTCGCTCTTGAACGTCCCCAGCAGACCATCGAACCGATTTTAATTGGACAAGTGCGCCAGGAAGAGAGCAACTAACTAAGTACACGTCCCGCGAGAGAGAAAGGGAGGGAATGATAAAAATGGATTCGCACTAAACGAAGAAAGGAGAGAGAGAAGTGGCTGCGGACTTTTAATCCCTCGAAAGCCACACGAGCACCGGCGGCGGATAAAATTTTATTCAATTCGATTACGAGAGAGAAAGAAAGAATTGAAAGCGCCCCAAGAGGTGGCAATTTCATCCCCAGAGCTTTCCTCTTTTATCTTCCATTCAAATAAGCGATCGCACAAATTTCTGAATTTTACGCTGTGTGGCCTCAATTGGCGAAAACAGCGCGCATGCCACGTCGTTTATCACGCGCAGCGGCTGGCCAGGGACAATATCGGCCGCAAATATTAGTCGGCTGTAAATTTTGATGCACAACATTCAAAACACATGGCGCTGAGAGAATTTGAGAGCACATCAAGTTGAGAACTCCTTCCTTCTTGTTCCAAACGCCATCACAACCAACTGCCGCCGCCCGAAGGCTTTTTTTTGCGCAACCTGAGCCACTCGTCCCAGCAGCATTCGGAAAGAGAATTTGTGAACACGCTTAAAACATGAATCTCTGCTGCAAACGGTGCGAAAATGTAAATTTTATTGCTTCGAGTTCAACGCGGCAACTGTATGATCAACAAAAAAATTATTTTTATTAAAATCATTGCGGCATTGCGCTGCATAACCACAAGAGCGCCTGAGAAATCATAGGTATGCAACCTGCACTACTGAATTGTCTAGCATGTTGCATGATTATGTTTATAGGGTCAGGGTTAATAATTTGGACCTGTGAAAATATATATATCTTTAAAATTCAGCAGTTCACCTTAGGAGCGCATTGTAACTGATATTTTTTTTAAATTCTGCTGCATAGTTTTTCTTCAAGGAAATTTGAATATTTACACATTACCAATAATTTTCAATCTATAAATTTATTTGAAAAAAAAAATAAATCAAATATTAAATCTGGAAATGTATAAAAAATAAAAAAAAGTTTAATTATTTTTTACTTTATATTTATTGTAGGACTTTTATTTTATTTCTACAGCGTTTAGCTCAATATTTTTTGCCTTATGCATGCCACTATTAGCCTTGCTTTGTGACGCTCTATTTACGCGTTTTTATCGTGAGACGACACGCCAAGCATGGGAAGTTCCCCGGCAGGGCGTGGTGCGGCCGAATAACAATTTCTCAAAGGCTAAAGGCCAATACATAATGATGCTGTTGTGGGCGCTCTTTTATCCCCTGGCTGCCGGTGCTTCCGTGATCAGCCGGCTTAAAAGTTGGTTTTCCTTCGACTTTTCCTTCCTGCCGTACGTGCAGGGATATTGCTCCGCATAAGAAGCTATTACCAAGTCTCGTCGCGAGGAGAAACTTTCGTTTTATAAGCGTTCTCGGATTGAATTTGTACCGTGAGTTGCACAGAATTTTTTTTTATATTTGCTGGATCAAAATATGAATGGTTGAACAGGTAAAGAGGAAAGTGATCAAAAGCGTCATTTCGCATTAAATATATTTTATCGCTGAATTTAAATTTTGTGATTTTAAATGAACGCATTAAACTTGAAACCGGATTCAGTTTGATCCAAAAAATTTCAAATTGGTCGAGTAATAAAGTAATTTGGCAAATTTAAAATCGAAATAACCCATATGAATGCTTTTGAGCTCTGATACAAAATAATGCCAATTCCCAGAACCCGTATTTGCAAAATCGACCAAATTTATTTGAATTATCACGCACGAGCATCAAATAAGCGCTTTGATGAACGAGGCAAAATAAATCTTCATCATTTCACTTTCGCGTGTGTGCGTCTCGCAGAAACAACCTGTTATTCGTCGCTTTTGAAATTATATCGCATTCCCAGAATATAATTCTGCACAGCGAGCGCCGCCTAATTAATAATGTGGCTCGCACACATCCGCCATTTGTATTCATTTGTACTGCAGTAATAGGATATAACAAAGATTGATCATAATTAATCGTCCGCCCCGCATGGCGGCCAACGAATGAGAAGCGGCAGAGCTGGCTCGCGTGCTGACTTTTTGTTCCTATGTTATCTGACTAAATTACAAACATACTCAAAACTACATGCAAACAGATTGAGATTATCAAATTGCGGCATTAGTGACAAGAGATAATTTCAACGTGGACCATCTACAATGTGGGCACGATATGAAAATTCGCTTTCTTTAAAGTGCCTCTAATTTATCAATCATCATTAAAAATTATATGAATCAAAAGCTAATAATGTTTTATTGAATGAAATGTACAATCATTGTTGAAACACCAAACTTAAAATTTATTTAAAATCCTAATGTGATCTGCTGCAACTTGATTCTGCAAAATAAAAATAAAATAGAACCGAAATAATTAAAAAAAAATAATCATAGAAAACCAGAAAATAGAAAAACGAAATTTTAAATTCCTGCGAAGAAATAAAATATCATAAAAATCGAGCTTGAATTATTTTCTTGAGCAAAAGTATAAGTCAAGCATTGAGCGAGTCAATTATTTCCAAAGAATGTCCATCAAATCTGATGAATGTCAGTTGCAGCTCTGCGCTCAAATTTAAACTTGGCCTCCCTAACAAAGTTGGCTCGCCTCTTCGATAGAAGGCAATAATAATTGTAATTAGCAATTCTCTATGAGCGCGCGCTAATGAAGCCGAACAAATTAATGCCACAAAATGAACTTTGTCTGCGCGCGGGCACAAAGCGAAACTGCCGAGTGCGCACTTTTTACCTGCAGGCCTTTGTGCCTCATCGACTCCCTCGCCCTTATGCCAAATGAGCCGCACCGACTTTTTGGTGTGCGTTCAAACTTTGACCTTTGTCAAGGAGAGCCGCTTATTGTTAATTGTGAAACGGGGGGAAACTTCATTTTTTTCCATTCAGCCGGTTGAAAAATAAACGAGGAAAAGTAAGTTTGTAAATTCAAAAATGTATTTTTACCTTATATTTGCCTAGGTGGTCCACCACGCAAGACAGCACCACTTCGCGTCCGAGGGGCACTGTCGCGTTCTGAATAGGTTGTCCAAAGTCGGGATCCTCAATCATTCTCGCCACAGACCATTCTGAAAAAGAAGATTTTCATGAGCTCGCACATCGACTAGATTCTTTTTAATTATTTTTTTTATTTTTAATGACATGATTATTAATTTGAAAGAAAATTTTTGTACATCAAGACACTTCTGGAAAAAAAAAACAATCCTGAGATAGCGTGACACCAGATACGTGGTGAAGGAAAAGCAATGCAAAATTATATTTTTTATTTATTAATATTTTTGTTTATTTGTACAAATGTTACTTAAAGCTGTCTCCTAACCATCATAACACATTAAAAGTATTTCAAATATGTAAAAAATTAAATTATATAATTTAAATAATGAAACTCTTATTTTGAAATTTTTATAGAAAATAAGTAACAAATCCTTTTTATAATTTCAAATTTATTATAAATTATTACATTATAATAATGCAATTATTTGATTTATATTTAAATAACATTGAATTTCAATAAAATTGCATCACAATCAGGCTCCAAGTGAGTATGCCATTATATACTTTTTTTATTGAAAAAATCTCGTTACAAGGAAAAATAAAAAATTTAAAGACACCCGACCCCAAAAGACAATCTCGAGTGTTAGCATTCCTTTCTAATTAATGTAAATAATCAATGTTATAACTTCATTAATCTCCCATGATGATCTCCTTTGAATACAGTTATTGAATTTTTTTTCTAATTTGGGACGAGATGAAAAACCTCAAATATGGTAACGAGAATTCCGCCTTCTATTGTGTGCGTTTGTTGCACGTGAGTGTGCCGGCCGGGGTATAAATTGGTCACACCGCTGGCGATGATGGTTTATTGCCAATTACTGGCCAGCAGGCAGGCGGGCACGCTATTACGAGAGTATGTGCATGTGTGTGTGTATCCATTTCCCAGCAGCCGAGCGAGAGCGACGCTTTATTGTTGTGGACGAGCAGTTGATGGCGAAATGGCGTTATGATGGCGCTAAGTGAATATAAATGGCCCATCAAACATGCACAAAGAACAAAAGTGCACCGATGGCATATTATTATACATCCACGCGCCGGGTTGGGCTCAGCTGCAATGGGCCGGATTATTTTATGCGAGTCTACCCTCTCTGTTGACGCGGGAGTTGCGGAGCAAAAAGGATAATGAGATTTGCCGCTTTTCTATATCAGTCGGAATTTGCAATTCTGATTCACCCACCACTGCTCTCTGCGAAAAAAGGCGAGCTGAATTACCACCAATCCATGTATGAATAATTAATTGTTAGTTAGTACGAACGCTTTTGTTGAACTTTTTAATGGATTTTGCACCGAGGCACGTTAATTACACGAGGATATGAGAGAATGGATTACTTTATAGAACAAAAACTGCGCAATTAATAGAAAATTTACATCAATTTTTTAGATTTTAGCGTGGAGTTGTGGATGATTCGTTTCAAATAATTGTCCGGCGGATTAAAAAATATTTATAAGAGTTGACTCTTGACCTCCTGATTCGATTCTTTCTGACACCAAAGGAATAAATGAATGAAGAAAGTGTAAATTTTTCAATATTTGGTTATGTACAGTATTACAATTTAGCGATTTTCTAATAAAATGAATCAAATTCATTCAGATTTAATTTTGATAATAAAATGATCTTGAGACTTTCACGTCAGGCCAAAATAAATCCATAGCAATAGTAGATTTTTGTCAGTTTGAAACTTGGTGGCTTTTCTGAAACTACGACAATGAGAATAATTTTTCCTTTCAAGGAGGTTGCCTGAAATCCATACCATGAAATGAGAGCAAAATTTGCATGATACAAAACTAACAAAGCATCTAATATATATCTTGATATCTTTGATTCCCAGCCACATAATCTTCGCGAGCTGTTGGCAATTTCCACGAGAATTTATTGTTTGGTTTTGTAAGAAGCTTTATTACTGCTCTTTATGAAATGCAAACTCAATGTGCATTGTCTGAAAAATTACATACAACACATACTTCGTGATTTCCGCTGCAGCTCCCACTTGGCGCTACTTGAAAGTGCAGAAATCTGCAGCGAGCTGCTGCAAGTCCGTATCAAATAGAATGTATGTAAGCACCATAAAATTCTGCTAGGAAGAAACGGGGAGGCGCATTAGCTCTGCGCCAGTAACTTTCTTTGGTTTTATTTCCCGGCGAACAGCAGCGAGATAAAGTTGTGGAAGCTGCTGCTGTTGCTAGAGAGAGGGAAAGAAAGACGGTGAATCCAAGATTGGATGGAAAATTTACTCTTCCCACGCTTCCTCACATTTTTTATTGCAGTCGGAGAAAATTATTTTTATCCAGCGCTTCACTCTACCGGGAAATTTTTTTGTTTCGTCTGCGTACAAAAGTAAAAAAATTCAGAAGAGGAAACAACACACATGGCTTGTTAGTTCTGGCAAATTGGCTCACAGTGTAAGCCAGGTTCGCAACACCGTGAAGCCCAATCGCAATCACGTGGCCAGAAAGACGTCGTCACGGTCTTTGCTTTCAGCTCTCATTTAATTATTCAAATTGGATTTTTACATCTGCAGTCAGAGAGGAAGGAGAGATTGGAACTTTTTCGTTTCAGACTTTCTATTCATGAGATCTACCAAGATCACGATTTTAATCCGGACCTTTTAATAAATTGAAGAATACAAAACACTTTTCTTTTTCAAATGTTCAAGAAAAAAAATTATTTCATTCCTCCAGCAACTGGCTGATTTAATTTTGAATCATGTTATTAAGACGCCGATTTTTATTTAAATAATAAGAGTCTGTTTATAGAAGAAGATAATGAAGCAATGGAAACAACATATTTTATAACCACTATCTCATAATTAAGAACATGGCCAAATATTTAAAAAGAAATTGTAAAATAAAAAATTGATAAGAAACGCTTACTAATTATGTACGGTGTTTGGCTTGACCCTCAATGATTTTTTATTTGTGTATAGTTTCATAGGAAATACAGAGCAAGAATAAGAAACGTTGCAAAAACGCGTGCCAGGGGCCAGGGAAGAATAAAAATTTAAGCATCAGGAACCAACCATCAGTTAGGCAATTTTCCTACAAATCTCTAAACTATTATTAATTTAAATTGATTTCACTTGTTTCAAATCTCCAGCAAGTAATGAAATTCTGAGTCGCAGAAATATAGAACTATTATTATTATTTTTATTTTGTATCTAATTGCGAATATAAACAAGAAATTTGAAAGCTTAACCACAAAATTAAAATGTCTGAAGGTGGTGGGTTGCGAAAATGAAAAATTGCGAGACATAAAGCATAGTGGGTTGAATTCTTAAAGGAACCAGTCAACTCTTTGGACCCCTAGCTGAAGCTCATTAATCATTAATTTCATTTCGCCCGGCGGCGAGAAGTGCATCTGGGTTGGCGGCGCGAGAAACGACTTAAGTTGGAAAAATTCGCGCGGCCCCAGATACCATTACCAAAGTTTTGGTGTGAAATATGAGTGCGAAAGGAGAAGAAAAAGGCCAGCGCGAGATGAAAAATGCGAATGGCGCGAGAAAAATTGCCACGAGTAATTACCTTCCTCGCCGCACACAAACACACGCTTACATACACTTGGTAATTTTGCAGACCCGACGCGGATTTATGGCGAATTTTATTATGCCACCCGTCGGCTCAGATTAATTTTCTCCTGCTTCGGAAATTATGCAAACATTTAATTGTTTTTCCCTCTCGTCTCTGGCTTTATTTCAATCTTCTGCTGGATTTTCGGCTCAACGTAGCAAATTTTCACAGAAAAGAAAATTGGTCTACCGAAAGGAAAATATCTTTTAATCATCAAAAGTTTTCCTTTCGTTTATCCAGCGCGCTCTCGCGAGACTTCTCGTTTGAAAAAAGAGAAGGAACAAGATAAAAGTTGACTAAAAACACTGGTGGAAGAAGCAGCAGGTTTAAAAGTCAACCGTCGCCCACAGAGACTCGCTTATTTTTGGACTTTCAGAGGGAGCGCGTGTGCTGCAGGCAGATATTATTAACGACGAGAGTCGCGTTGTGTCACCGGGTCGATTTCAATCGCAATTTTTCTTCCGAAACAAAATATGAATGTAGCTTGAGCATTTATTTGCGGTCGAGAAAAAAATTATACTTGTTGGCATTGCATAAAATATGAGTGTTTTTTTTCTGGGATACTTTTACGCCCACTCACCGTAAATATCAATTAAAATGTAATGAAATTTCAACACGATGATAATAGAGGAACCTCGGTGCGGAGAAAATAACACGGGAAACACAGCGGTCCGCAATTTATCACCTGCGCTCCATCGGCACTCTCGTTTTACGCGGCGAAACTTTTATGAGGCTAAATTGAACACGTTGCGAGCGCCAAATTGAAAATTGTTGCTTTTTGCATCGAGAAGGACTGGCCTAATAAAAGCTGGCCGCCGTGTTATCGTCCACCGCCCACGTTGGACACACACGCGAGGGAGAAGAGAGACACACACGCGAAGTGCACCGAAGACTACAAAACAAAGAGAAGGTAATAAATTGGTTTATGGCACCACAGGAAAGAGAAGGGAGAACGCCAACTTTTGGCGAAAAGTTGAGTTTTCTTAATGACAAGTGGATTAAGGCCATAAGTTTCTATATAAAAATAAGCAAAGAAATAAAAGCAGGCATTTGTGTGAAATAGTGAAGAATTCAAAATTTGTATATAGGGAATATTTAAATATTGTAAAAACTGTTGTTAAATTTCAAATAAAGCAAATTATTATTTTACACAAAAAATATTAAATAAACTCCTATAGAAATAAATATCAGATAATGACACTTTACCTTATGGAATTTAATATTATTGTTAAGATCATAATTCATTTTTTGAATATTTTGTTTTAACTTTCCTTTGCTTGCGGCCCCTGTGAGCTATTTAGGCTGTTGAGTTGATCTCTTGCCGTATAGCCAAGCACCCTTAAAACCCTTAACTAAAATAAACCAATATGTTTGATTCCTTCTTTTTTCCGGTATCGAATCACACAAAAGTGTATAATATTGACAAATTACTATTCACCGAATTTGCTGC